CTCCGGGCCAGGCGTTCTGTCCGCTGTGACACTTAGCTACCCTATTATCCTATGACCTAGATTTAAATGCCAGCTCTACCACGTGCTGTTATTGTGACCTTAGGAATATAGCTTTACTGTCTTGGGCTGCCTCAGTAAGCAATGAGTTCCTCATCACTGGAGGTCAGAGCCTGGATGATCACTCGTCTGTGATGTAAGTGATGGAAGAGGATTCTTGTTCTGGTACAGATCAGACCAGGTGGTCACTGAATCTCTTTGGGCTCTGAGATCCTGTAACTGAAGAATTCCCATCACTGTCACCATCACAAAGACTATTGTCCACGTTCACATTGAAGTCTTGTTCTAGAGGCTGAGCTGTCACCACCCTAGGGCAAGTCGGAGTAATAACCCTAACCTCACACTTCAGGCACCCCCTGCATTGCTGGTGGATGAGCTGTCACTCGGGGAGCCAACAGGCAGAAGGTAGCTTTGCCTCCAGGTACTAAAATATACCTAAGGTGCTTAAGTAGACTATCAGCTTATAACATTGCCCCATCACCAACACCAAGGTGAAGTGTATGGCTGAGCCTCTTTACTGGTATATTGCCGAATGGCCCTCTGATGACATAATCTTCTCTTCAGGCTGGCCCTGAGTATACATTGATGTCACCACTACAGGGAATATTGGAGAATGTGGAAGAGGGGAAGGAATAAGGAGAAACAGTGTGATATGTCCTGGCCCCAGAGCCTCTGGGGCCCATTCTGCCCCCACCTCAGCCTTTCCAGGCCTCTCAAGGCCAAAGGTAACAGGGACTAGTTCCCAGAAGGAAGCTGTGAAGCAAGCCCATTTTCTGCAGCTCCTAAAATAGCCGAGCAGGAGGGCTCCAAGAATAGAATTTCCGAGTTACAAGGTGACCCATTTAGCAGGTTCCTGTTGTCACAGGCTGGTGGGAGCAACACCATTAACCAGTGGCTGCCCAGGTCTGCATGGGGAACTTAGTGACAGGTGAAGGAGAACCCACTCAGATAATGATCCTCAGCCCTCAGCCCCAGCCCCTGATCCCTTCTCTCTGAGAATGGGGGCACAGAGGGGAATTATCCAAGGGGCTTCCCAGACAGCTAAATGCAAGTTAAACAAAACACAGACTTAGCCTTATCCCTCAACCAGGAAAAGCTGGGAACCAGATTTTTGAGCCCTTAGAAGGCAGAACGTTAAAGCTGAGAGAGATCTTGGAGCATTCATTGAATGTCAGAACAATAAAATTAAGGGGATGCTACATAATTTGAATGAATAAATGTCAGAACAATAAAGTATAGCTGACCACCCACTAATTGTCAAGACCAGTCTTGGCCCTGGAGAGGAAGGGAGGAAACCTACTTCTCTCTTGCTCTCTGTGGAAAAAGTACAGGACTCCAGGTATAGATGGGCAGACACACTGTCAGAGTCAGTCCGTGTGCAGGCTGGTTTTGATTTTTCTTTCTGGTTGAGGTGGAGGGTATTGCTATATCTGGAAATGGCTGTACCAAACCAAAAAGTATCAATTAAAATATTTTTAAATATAGAGAAAATGTGTGAGCTGGAAAAAGATCTGAGAATAGGAAATGTTAGAGCTAAGGGGGAGCTTAGAGATCTATGGGGGAAACCTGTTTGTTTTACAAATGAGGAAACTGACACCCAGAGATGCTAAATGCTTACCCATGGTCACACAGGGAGTAATGAGCAGAATAGGGCTTCAAAGCCAGAGCTGTCATGGGTCAAAGAATGCAAGCTCTTTAGGTGCGGGGACTGTCTCATTTTTGACATTGTATGCTCAGCTCAAAGGAAGTGCCTACTGAATGTAAGAATTAACAGTTGAGAAAAAAAAATAGTCATGCTCATAGAAAGACAGTAGGTCAGCTAGGTGGCACAGCAGAATCAGGAAGACCTGACCTCTGACCTTTTCTAGCTGTGTGACCCTAGGCAAGTCACTTCACCCTGTTTGCTTCAGTTTCCTCATCTGTAAAATGAGCTGGAGAAGGAAATGGCAAACCACTCCAACATCTTTTCCAAGAAAACCCCAAGTGGGGTCATGAAGAGTAGGACACAACTGAAATGACTGATTGTCAACAAGCTAGCAGAGGCAGGATTTGAACTCACGCCCTCATTTCCAGAAACAAGATTCTTTCTAATATTTTATGCTGCTTTCTATGCACATTCAGGAATGAGCTAGAGGACTGAGATCACTTCATTTGGGAACATTACTCCTGCAGGATTTGAAGTTTTATTGCTTCTGCAAAGGCACTGTGATGCAGGAGAATGAGCCCTGAACTCATGGTCAGGAGACATGGGTTCGAGCACTGCCTCAGCAACTTATTAGCCAGAGTCCCATGGCCAAAGCCTTCCTTTCTCTCTCTCTCTCTCTTTCTCTCTCTCTCTCTCTCTCTCTCTCTCTCTCTCTCTCTCTCTCTCTCTCTCTCTCTCTCTCTCTCTCTCTCTCTCTCTCTCTCTTTCTGTCTCTTCCTCCCTCCCTCCCTCTTTTCTCTCTCTGTCCCTGTCTCTCTTTCCCTCCCTCCCTCAGCTTCCTAAATCATACAACAGGAGGTCTGAGCAGCTTCAAGCAGTGTGCAGCTTGGAAGAGGCTTATCACAGATCTAGAGCTGGGAGAAACCTCAGAGGCCTGCTGACTCACCCAGCCTACTCTATTTCACAGATGAGGAAACAGGCCTAGAGAGACAGAGTCATTTCCCCAAGGTCAAGCAGGTAGGAAGTGCTAGAGCCCAGGTTTGAATTAGGTTCCCATGATTCCAAGTTCAACGTTCTTTCTGCTCCACTGCTGAGGCTGAAAGGCATGTTGTTTTTGTTTCTAACTATTTTCTTTCTGATAGTCAACAAGCATTTATCTAGTGCCAGGCACTGTGCTAAGCTCTAGAGATACAAAGAATGGTAGAACACAGTCCCTGCCCTCAGAGAGCTCACAGTCTAATGGGGGAGACGACATGCAAATTAGTACATACAAACAAGACAGATAGAGGATAAACTGGAGATGATCAACAGAGGGAAGGGACCAATATTGAAGGGGATCTGGAAAGGCTTCCTAGAGAAAGTGAGATTTTAGCTGAGACATACAGGAAGCCAGGGAAGCTAGGAAGTGGAAGAGAGCTTCCCAAGCATGGGGACAGCCAATGAGAATGGCCAGACCTGAGAGAAGAAGGGTCAAGGAGGCCAGTGTCACTAGATTGCAGAGTATATAGGGAGGGGGAAGGCAAGGTCCTACATGTGATGGTCTCATTTTGTGGTCCAGTCACTTTAGTTGTATCTGACTCTTCATTTATGTCCCCATTTGGAATTTTCTTGGTGAAGATACCGGCTTGATTTGCCATTTCCTTCTCCGGCTCATTTTACAGATGAGGAAGCTGAGGCAGACAGGGTGAAGTGACTTGTCCAGGGTCATACAGCTAGTAAGTGTCTGAGGTCAGATTTGAACTCAGGTCCTCCTGACTCCAGGACTGCACCACCTAGCTGCCCCCAGCCCTCTTTCTATTATACCATGTGTCTTCCCTGGAGCAAGGCTCTGTTGTAACCAACCTCAAAAGTGACAATGCAAAGGGCCTCCACATTTGGGAGTGGGTAGGGTGGAATTCCTGTTGGGGAACTTCCTCCAGTGTAGATTATAACCCCTCTGTACCTTAGCAGATAAATCCAATGTTGTAGAAATTTGAGCTACACGCATGGATAATGATTACAATTCCTTTTCTACAACCCCCTTCTCTATCCTGATGGCCTCTGGGCGAGTCTCTCCCTCAGAAAGATGAGGGCAGGCCTCCTGAGCCAAGGATCAGAGAATAAGGGAGCATCGTGCCTTTAGGTAAGGGGAGGAGACCAGTGTCCAGACTCTGCAGGGCCTTGAATGTGATCATAAGGGCTTTCTTCATTGTGCTCAGGAGCCACGGGAAGGTTTTTAGCTGGGGATTGGACTCCTAGACATTCTTGTCCTCTTGGTCACAGGAGAGGGTATGGGCATGTTGAAAGTTATGTTGACTCAGCATCCCATGGTTCCAAGTCTGCTTATCAATTAGAGTGGGGGGAGGCCCTGGTGGGGCAGGAGACACCAAGTCTGCAGCTTTTTGTCACATGCCCCTACCTGCCAATTGTAGTGTTCTGGCTATCCTGGGGAGGAACTGAGATGCAAGGGCCCAACCCTTTTTGCTGAGGTGGACCTATCTTGATTGTCTTCAAGTTACCTGTAAAAGCTGTTCCCACCTTGAATCTATTGCTGATCTTCAGTGATCAGCCTCTCCAGGAGTTGCTACCTTGATGTACTCATAACAGAAGTCCTTTTAATGCTCTTTGTCCTGAGTTTTGCCTTGTTAATCAGGGCAAAAGCCCAAAAGAAGAATTTTCCTTTCAACAGTCAGAGCTAGTTCTCCGACAAAAACTCATTGTCTGCTACCAGCTAAGCTCTGGGGCTGATAGGAAAGAGTGCCTGTGATGCGGCTCCCCTCACCTTCTTCTGAAGATCAGCAGCTCAGGGAGGAGGAGGCCAAAGGCTGAGTGAAATCAGTGGTGCCCTTCTTGAGACTTTGTGAGTTCCAGAACTAATGGATCTCACCCAGAAAGATTACCCTTCCTTGCAACTCTCACTAGCCTTCTTGGATAGTACCATGAATCCAGTTATGACCAAACACGGGGGTTCCTACTGGGCAATGTGGGGAAGGAGACTGACACTGTGTTCTAAGGTCATTCCAGTTCTAATATTCTCAGTTCTAAGCTCTAAAATTTTCTCCAGTTCTTCAACTCTGTCTTCTCTGTTCTCAGTACCCCGTTAGCTCTGACATCCTATATGCTAAGGTCCCTCCCAGCCCTGACAATCCATGTTCCAAGGCCCCTCCCAGTTCCGACATTCTGTGTTCTAACATATTCCCTCCTCCTTGATATTCTCTGTTCTATGTGTTCTGGAACTGGCATTATGTCTTTTAGAGTACCAGCTCTAACCTTCTGTGTTCTTTGTTTTAAAGTTCTTATCAGGCACCCAAATCTCTATTTCAAGGTCCCTTTCCAGCTCTGCCATTCTATGGCTGTGACCCTTCAGGCTTTGCTCTGCTTTAGCTAATCTGATTAGCTAATTCCCGCTGAGACGTTACTGGTTCTGAGGCTGCTTGAGTCCCCCAGGTAGGATAGCTGCTGCTGCAGCACCAAGGGCCTTCAGTCCTCCAGTCCTCCTGTGCTGAACCCAGGAGGCCTCAGACACTGGGACTCCCAGCAGGGAGAGGCATTTGGGGTGTTGAGGAATAGGTCTTCTTTCCTAAGCCTCGCCTCTACACCCAGCCCCCCTTCACTTCAGAGTTTACTTTCTAGCTTCCGTGGCCTTTGGCCAAGCAGTGTTTCATTAGAGCTGTAAAACCCTGGGCTTCTCTGCTCCCACCTCCCCCTCCTCCCTCTTCTCCCTGCAGTGTCTCATTCCAGCCAGGAAAGCTGCCTGATGAGCTGGTTTCGCAGAGGTATTTTTATGCCTTGAGCTTTCTGAAATGGGCAGGAAACAGGAAAGGATAAACCCAGCACCCGTTAATTAAATCCCAGCGCGGCTGATGCTTCCCAGGAAGAATGTCCAAACTCTTTAGTTTGGCCTTCGAGAGTTTCCATGGTCTGGGGACTCTTCCCTTCTGAAGGTAAAAAGTGTATTCCCACCTTTGCGTCTTTGCTCACGTCATCTCCTTGACCTAACAGACCCTTTCCCCCTTGTCTAAATCCTGACCTGACTTACTCTGCCCTGTCCTCCCAGGGCCATTTAGCATGTGTACTTTTCTGTTTCCAAATCTAGAGCACTTAACGGGATCAAATCCTGAGTACTAACTGTGAGACCTTGGTCGAGTCACAATCTATGAGGGCCACAGTTTCCTCATCTGTAAATGGAGGGGGTTAAATTGGACATGCTCTCTGAGGTCCTTTCTAGCTCTGAGTCCTATGATTCTAAGATCTTTAAATTTCATGATCTCATGATTCCTTTTTGTCATTTAAAGGGCATAACCACAGAGAGAGCCAGAGCCCAGTTTGTCACCTGCATTATATACCTTTAGTCTTTGGAAAAAGCTTTTATGTTTTAAGGTTTCTTTTTAAATGTGAAGACCACAGGAGGGTTTACAAGCTCTGGGTAAGTTTCTTCTTAGCTTGTCTCTCCTTGGGCTAAAAACTCTTCAGTGACTCCCATTGCTTGCAAAATCGATTCCAGTTCCTTGCCCTGGCATTAAAAGCCTTCCATAAATCAGGCTCTGACCTCCCTTGCCAGCCTTCTGGGCTCTATACTCAAAGCACTCTTCTACCTAGGCTGTTTACCCGGCACACCCCGACTGATTTCCTCTGCCTGACTCTTTATACCATTCCCATTGGCTGGAATGCTCTTTCCCAATTTATCTGCTTGAATCCTACCCAAATGACAGGACCTTACTGAGGGGTAGCTCAGGCTCTCAGGTGAGAGAGGAGTTGGCAGGAAGAAGACCTGACCTGTGGATCTTAGTGAACTTCAAGCTTCGCAGGTGTGATCAGGTGGCCAAATCAGCTAAAGTGATTTTAGACTGGGCTAGCAGAAGTGCTGTTTCTAGGACTAGGGAAATTTCAGGGATTTAGCTCCAGAAGGAATCTCAGAGGCTGTCTAGTCCAAATCCTTCATTTTATAGATGAGGAAACTGAGCATGAAAAGGTTTAGTGACTTGTCTAAGGTCACACTGGTAATAAGTGGAAGAAAAGGCAGGTTCCTTCCTCCCTCTCTCCTTCTGTCTTTTCCTCCCTCCCTTCCTTCCTTCCTTCCTTCCTTCCTTCCTTCCTTCCTTCCTTCCTTCCTTCCTTCCTTCCTTCCTTCCTTCCTTCTTTCCCTCCTCCCTCCCTCCCTCCCTCCCTCCCTCCCTCCCTCCCTCCTTCCTTCCTTCCTTCCTTCCTTCCTTCCTTCCTTCCTTCCTTCCTCACTTTCACTGACTCCAAATCTAACACTATTTCCATTGCATCATGTTGCATTGAGAGACCCTCTTACCTCTGCCTTAGACTCCATAGACAACTAGGTGATACAGTGAATGCATAAAAAATGCTGGATTTGGCATTGGGAAGACCCGAGTTCGAATCCTGCCTCAGATGTTTACTGGCTGTGTGACCCTGGGCAAGTCACTTAACTTCTGTGTGCCTCAGTTTCCTCAAAAGCAAAATGGGGACAACAACAGCACCTACCTCATAAGATTATTGTGAAAATCAAATGAAATAATGTATGTACAGTGCTTTGCAAACCTTAAATCCCTTTAGATATGAGTGTTTGTTATTATTATTATTAACATTATATTCAATTCTGGAGCTGTGGTGTAGTGAAAAGAACATTTGCCATGTAGTCAGGAGAGCCCTGAGTTCATGCCCTGCTTCTGACATTTACTAGCTGTATGAACAATGAGTAAATTCTTTAACCTTTTTGAGCCTCAGTTTTCCTCATCTGTAAAATGGGGATATAACATTCCTCCTAGGCAGCACCTACCTCCCAGGGTTGGCTCTGATGAGTATCAAATGAGATAATGTGTGTGAAGCTCTTTGCAAACCTTAAAACAACACACAAATTCAATTCCTTTCCCTTGTCTAAATATATGAGTCTAAAAGTCAGTTATTATTTTAGGAAGGACATTGACAAACGAGCATATTCAGAGGAGACCAGCACAGATGGCGAGAGGACTGGAGACTGCCATAAAAGGACTGGTTGAAGGAACTGGATAAGGAAAGATGGAATAAGGGAAAGATGCAGGGGCGGGTGGGGGAGGAGGCACGATAGCTGTCATCAAAAAGTTGAAAGGCTGCCACGTGGAATGAGGCTAAGAATTGCTTTGATTGGCCCCGGAGGGCACAGCCAGGAGCAATGTGTGGAAGCTACAAAGGGGTAGATTTAGGTTTGAAGAAAGGAAAAAAATAATCTCTTAATAATCAGAGCTGGCCAAAAGCAGATTGAGTTGAATTCAATTGACTCGACTAACTCAATATTAAATCAACAGGCATTTGTGAAGCATCTACTCCTATGTGTCAAGCACCTTGCTCGGGCTGGAAATACAGACAAAATGAGAGTTCCCTGCACTCGGGGAGTTTGTGTCCTAACGGAGGAGACAGCATGTGTATGTGTATATGTATGTACATGCCTATGTAGATGGATATATGTGTATATGTATATATATGTGTAGATGTGAAATACATACAGAATCACCACGTCATTGAATTCGAGAGTTGAAAGGGACCACTAGTCCAACCCATAAACAAAGGAGTCTTCGTTGTTGTCTATCCTCTTCTTGAAGAGACAGTTTACTGCCCTTTTGGATGGCTCTCATCATTTGGAAACTTTCCTGACATCAAATCTGAATTGCTCCTTTCTAACTTCCAACCATGAACTCCTATTTCTGTAGTTTGGGTCAAACAGGGCTTTCTGTATCTGTCTGATGTATCTGCTTCCTAAAGAATGCAATATATCCTGGTCCAACAGCTCCCTTTCAAAGTGTAATGGACAAAATGGTGGTGGAGGGGAGGAGAGAAAAAGACTTTCCTTCTCTGTGGCAGAGGTCTCCTCCACAAGTTGCTCTCTGACTTGTAATATCTTCAAATCTTGAATTCTGAAATACGTCCAGGTTTTAGCTATTTAAAACCTCGAGACATGCCTCATTTGCTTGCTTAGTCAATAGAGTTGTTCCCTTCTTGACTCAATCAGAGAAGTATTAGCACTTCACAAAGGGATGAGGCCTATAGATTACATGCACACATATCGTCAATTTAACACCTCATTAAATGCCTTATGATTATGTTTCAAAGCTTCTGTGTCTATATCCACTGAGATGTAGGGGGAAACCCCCTACCTTACACAGGATAATCTTGAAATGGAGTGCTTTATCATCTAGGGGTACCAAGAGAGGCTTAGGGTAGGAGGTGGTACTCAAGGTGAGCACCAGGGACTCCAAGAGGTGGAAGCAAAAAGGAGGGCAATGTAGGCACAAAGGAACAGGCCATACAAAGATACAGAGATGGGACATGTAGTGTTGTGTGCAAGGAAACCAGTTTGTCTGTACCATAGAGGATGGGGAGGAGAGTAATGTGTAATAAAGTTGGAATGAAAGGACAGGACCAGAACATAAAGGGCTTTCCCTGTCAAATAAAGGCATTCATATCTGATCTCAGATAACAGGGAGGCATTGTAGTTTATTCAGCAGGAAAGCAATAAAGTCAGAGTTGTGCTTTAGGAAAATCACTTTGGAAGCTGGGTGGAGTATGGATTGGAGTAGGGAGAGACTTCAGGTAGAGAGACTAATTGGGAATGTATTATAATAGTCTAGGCAAGAAGTGATAAGGTTGGTTGTCAGTGGACAGAAGGGGACTGATTCAAGAGATATCGTGAAGGTAGAAACAACAAAATTTGGCAGGTGGGTGGATGTGTAAAGTCAGTGAGAATGAAGAGCTGAGGATGACTGACGTTGAGAATCTGGATGCCTGGAAAGATAGCAGTGCTTTTATTAGAGATAGGGATCCTCAGAAGAGGAATAGGTTTAGGGTAAAAGAGAATAAGTTCTGTTTTGGACATATTGTGTTTGAAATGCCTGAGGGGTGTCTAGTTCAAAATTCCCAGACTAGGGTGTGTGTGTGTGTGTGTGTGTGTGTGTGTGTGTGTGTGTGTGTGTGTGTGTGTGTGTATGTGATCTGCATAGAGAGGAGAATTAAAACCATGGGAGCTGATGAAATTACTAAATGAGAGAATGCAGCAAGAAGAGGTAAGAGGAGCCAGGACAGCCTCTTGGCCAGTTAGGAAGTTGGGGAGAAATGGAGTTTCTAGCTCAGGCGACTGAGAAGCCACAAGACATGTGGGAGGAGAACCAAGAGACGGCAGTGTCACGAAAACCCAGAGAGGAAATAGGATTGAGGAGGAGAGAAGAGTTAACCAAGTCCAATACTGCAGAGAGGTTGAGAAAGATGAAAGCTAAGAAAAAGCCATTAGCTTTGGCAATTGGTAACTTTCAAGAGAACACTTTCATTTTAGTGATAAGATTGAAATCCTGATTACAGAGGGCTTAGGAGAGAAGGAGAGGAAGGGAAGTGGAGGCAAAGAGTGCAGCCAGAGAATTGAATTGGCAGGAATCGGGTCAAATAAGGCTGATGGTTTCTAGCTCAGCTCTGGCCCAGGGATGAAGCATATAAATAGAAATGGGACTCAGAACAAATCCAAGGGAAGGCTTCAAGCAAAGAGACCAAATATGATGGCTTGAATCACAAAGAAGAGGGAAAGAAGCCAGGTAAAAATAGAGAAAGCAGCCCAATGTGGTGAAAATAGAGCTATCCTGGAAGCCAGGAGACATTGGTGAGAGGATTCTGACTCTGCCATTTACTTTTCATGTGACCCCAGACAAGGGTTTAACCTTTCATGGCCTCAGTTTCCCCTTCTGTAAAATGAGAGGGCTGGACCAGATGACTGGGCCTCCAAACAGAGGCTGGGCAGTCAGGATTATAGCTCTGCCATCCAAGTATGACTGTGTGATCTTGGATAATTCACCCCCTTGCCACACACCTCAGTTTCCTCCTCTGAATAGCTACTTTGATAGATTATTAGCGTTGAAAGAATCTACCTTGGATGAACCAGGGCCTGTGACTGAGTCAGTCCTGGAGCTTAGAAATTACTGATCTGTAGTCAGCTTCTAAACCAGTCCAAAGGATTTGCCTTTGCCACCAGGGCTTTCATCTTTTCGTTTTTACTAAACTCCCCAGATTTCTGAAGCCTCACACTAGGCCCTGTGTCCCCTGACAGCTTTCAGGGTGCTGTGGCTGCCTTGGCTCCCTGGGTTCAGAGGTCAACAGTGCTGAATCTCTAGTGACCTTGCCCTCTTCCTACTACTCCCACCATCCCTAAGTGCCTGGTCCTGTTACAGAATCATAGCATCTCAGAATCAAGAGACCTCAGAGGTCATCTCATCTAATATCTGAATGGACACTAGCCACAGGGTTACACTGAGGCCTCTTGGGGACACCGCTAAGATAGTAAGGTAATGTGTGTCAAATACTTGCTATATCAGAAATGTAATCTGAGAAATTTCTTCTTTTTTTAACATCTATTTTTTATTTTTTAAAAGATTATTTATAACCTTTTTTCTATTTTGAGTTCCAAATTCTCTCTCTGTCACTGTCTCTCTCTCTCTTTTTCTCCCCACCCCTTCCCTCAACCATTGAGAAGGCAAGCAATATATCAATTATATATGAAAATCACACAAAACATATTTCCATATTAGCCATGTTGCCAAAAAAGCAAGAAAAATAAAGTTAAAAATTATACTCCAATTTGTACTCACAGTTCATCAATTCTCTCTGTGGAGGTGGAGAGGCTTTTTCATCATGAGTCCTTTGGAATTGTCTTGGATCATTGTATTGAGCAGAATAGCTAGGTCTTTTGCTGTTGATCATCATTACAATATTGCTGTTACTGTGTACAGTGATTTCCTGGTTCTGCTTACTTCTCTCTACATCAGTTCATGTAAGTCTTCTCAGGTTTTCTGAAAGCATCCTCTCATTATTTCTTATAGCACAATAATATTCCATCACAATCATATACCACAACTTGTTCAGCCATCCCCCAACTGAAGGGCATCCCACCCATTTCCAATTCTTTGCCACTAGGAAGTTTCTGAAAGACCTTTTCATCAGACTCAACACCTAATGGGAAACTATTATGAGAGACGATATTAAGCATTGTCATAGGGCATACTTTCCCCGGGCTGATTTTTTGGCTACACAGCCCATTAGGGAGGACACAAAGGGATATATCTATGGGCCCATAGACTATAATACAGCACCACACTCTGACCAAACCCCAGAGACTTATTTGGGTGGGTCTGGTTCTCACTTTATGAAAAATTAGAATCACCCAAAGATACCAAAATTCTCTACAGGCAGAATAATGACTTACTAACAGCTGATAAATGTCCTTTCTCCCTTTTAAATGACTCACCGAATTTAAATGCTGTCCTTACAAGCCAGCAACAGCTGAGCAATGCAGTACAGTCATAGCCAGCTCAGTGGCTGTCCAGCTCTAGTGCTGACTCAACTAGCCGCTGCTGAGTTTGCTGATACTCCAGTGATGGTGCTGATCCACAGTGTGCCTTCACAAATGCTTGCCCTCCTTCCTTCCATCTGAAGACTTCTACTAATTATTACCAATGTCGTTATCATCACATTATTAATAATCTTAGAATCTAATTAATTCCTCTCCTTTGACCTATTATATGCAAACACTCCAGAATGTGTTTTGAGAATTAAGCTGAGGGATAAGAGAACTTAAAAGACCAGGCACAGGAAGGAAACAAACACATATCAAATGTCTTCTCAGTGCCAAGCTCTGTGCTAAGCACTTTTACAAATATTATCTAATTTGATCTTCATAAAAACACTGGCAGGACAAACACTATTATCATCTCCATTTTATGGTTGAAGAAACTGAGGCAGAAACAGGTTAAGTGACTTGCCCAGGGTCACACAGCTAATAAGTATGCGAGGCCAGATTTGAACTCAGGTTTTCCTGACTCTACACCTAACACTGTATGCACTATGCCACCCAGCTGCCTCTCTACAGGTTACCTCCAAAGTTAAAACAGATTTTCCCCTTTCTTTACCGAGCCCTGGATACCTGGGCCTGCTAAGAGACTCAATATTTCCCCTCAGTTCTCCTTTGGAAGCATCCTGTCTAGTGCCTTTCAGTTTCCCTGCTCTCCAGCAAACTATTTCCCTTCCTGCATAGCAACACGTTTTAAAGTATGTCAAGGATTCTTGAGCTAAGACTCATTCCAGGAACACAGATCACAGTCCTTGACATCCACATAGCACTACTCTGTCTGTCTCAGTTTCCCCAACTGTAAAATGGGGATAATAACAAGTACCTACCTAGCAGGGTTATTGTTGTTGTTATCTTATTTAATAATATTACATTTTATTCCAACTACATGTAAAGACAATTTTCAACATTCATTTTTTGAAAGATTTTGAGTTCCAAATTTTTCTCCCTTGCTCTCTCCAACACGGCAAGCAATCTGATACAGGTTATATATGTGCAATCGTGTAAAACATATTTCTACATTAGTCATGTTGTAAAAGAAGAAGTAGAAAAGGAAAAAACATGAAAGAAATAACAAAAAAAGTGAAAATGGCATGCTTTGATCTGTACTCAGACTTTACCAGTTCTTTCTCTGGAGGTGGTTAGCATTTTCCATCATTTGCCTTGTGGAATTGTCTTAGATCATTGCATTGCTGAGAAGAGCTCAGTCTATCAAAGTTGGTCAGGGCATAACGTTGCTGTTACTGTGTGCTTTGCTCTTCTGGTCCTGTTCACGTATCATCAGTTCACACAAGCCTTTGCAGGTTTTTCTGAAATCTACCTCTAGCAGCCTTATTATGAGGATCATATGTAGAAATATTTGTAAAGCAGTTAGCGCAGTGCCTGGCACATGGTAAGTAAGTACTGTACAAATACTTATTCTCTTATTCCTCTTACTAATTTCTTTTATTAATTTTATGCAAATAGCAAAGACATTATACCACATACAGTTAAGCATGTCTGTTTGTTTTTCATGGGTGATAGACTTCCATACCCTAGATTAGTGTTCAGTGAAATACAGCAGAGTCATGGTAGAGGTGGGGTTTTCCAGTAGTGATGGTTCAAAGCTAAGCTGGTTTGGGAAAACACACGTTGACCACACCCCTGAGCTAGTGAAATAAGGGCAGCTTGGGGAAAGAGGGTTCCTTGCTCCCTGAGAACTCCAGAAAGCTGGGCACTTCCCTAGAATTCCCTTTAAAGTAGGGTGGAGTGCCTAACCATCTGGGTGATCAGGATTTCCCAGGGCCCAATTACTCTGGTTAGTGACCTTTGGGTTAGTGCCTAGCAATGCCACCTAGTGTTTAAACTTTTAACAGCACCCAGGAATAGCCCAGTAGAAGCTGAGAAGATTTTGAGTTCCAAATTTTTCTCCCTTGCTGTCTCCAAGATGGCAAGCAATCTGATACAGGTTACATATGTGCAATCATGTAAAACATATTTCTACATTAGTCATGTTGTAAAAGAAGAAGTAGAAAAGGCCAATGACAATAGCTGAAATAAGAACATTTAAATAGAAGTATATAATAATTTTACATACATACATATACATATATACACCTATTTGTGTCTAGTGGTAGTCATCTCTAGGGCTTAGAGAGGGAAGAAAAAGAGAATTTTACATGATAGCTTTATTATATATTTAAAAAGAATATCAAGTTGTACATAATAGGTTTGCAGTTTCACATACAATCATCTTTTTATTATACTATATTATATATATTTATTCCATAAATTAAAAAGAAAATAATAAAAAAAAAAGAAAACAGATGCTGTTATGTCTTCGTGGTATCAGTGATCCCAGGCATACCTATACCAGTAGGGCAAGGCATCCAATAATTAAAAAGCCTCAAAAAGTTGGCAATCTGTATAGCAGCTCAAACAGAACTCCATAGTTTATGCTCAGCAGGTGCCCTGGGAACCTGCATAGGAAAAAGCCTCGGAAAAAGGAGGAGGAGAGAGTCCTGATGGACGAAGGGGTGAAAGGACCCAGATCTTTGCATTGAGCACTGGGGACAACTAGGCCCAGGGAGAACAAATTCCAGATAGTGGAGAGGGGGAAAGGGGTGGGAAGAGCCCCAACCCTTGGTATATACATAAGTAGAAACAAACGTATTTTTAATGTATTTTAAATGTATTTTAAAAATACAAGATATTTTGAAGGTCTACACTAGCAGCTGGTGGTGATCAGGAAATACTTCACGTAGGAAGTGGTGCCTGAGCTGTGCTTTCAGGGGATTCTAAAAAGGCAGAGATGATAAGGGAGGACCTTTTGGGCATAGGGTATAGACTGGGCAGACCTGGAGGTTTCAGAATTCTCATAGGGTTTAGAATTGGGAGGAACTCATTCTGCTTGGCCTTAGAGGATGGAACAGGGAATGATGGGTGGAGATTGCACAGTGGTAGATTGCAACTCAATCTAAAGGAAAGTCTTCCTGATGATCAGAGCTGGACAAAAGGTGAAAGGGTTGCTTTACTTTAGGAAGTAGGAGCTCCCCCTCACTTGAAGTGTGTCTTCAAGGAGAGGAGGGATGACCACATGGTAAGGAAGTACTGGAAAAGCTACTCTTTTTTTTTTCAAAGAGGCAATCAGGGTTAAGTGACTTGTCCAGGGTCACACAGCTAGGACTTGAATTCAGAGCTTCCTGGCTTCCAGGTCAGTTCTCTATTCACAAGACACACTGTCCTCTCTACAATGCAGATGAAAATGGAAAAGGTTCTACCTTCGAGGAGCTATGTTCTACTAGAGGAGTTTAGGTACGGGTTGATTACATGTCCCTGTGTTCCTGATTTTGGAGAGTGATGTGTCCAAGATCACACCACGTTGTCCTGTCAGAGCTAGAACTGACACCCAAGTCTTCTGACATCACAGGCAGTGAGTGTCTTTGCTGCCACACCACAGTTCTCCCCATGCATGACTCCTCTCTTGACCTCTGGATTTGTTTGTCTCAATGCACTCTTGGGCTCCATCCCAGCTGGTTATTCTGCTTACCCATCCAGATCATTGTCTGGCTTGCCTTTTTCCCTTCAGGCATCATCTCTCAATTCTACAGCAGAACTCTCTGATTCCAACCTCTGCCCTCTTCCAATCTCTTCCATCCTTCCTATATCTTCTAAAATAATCTTTTTGAAGTACAGAACTGATCATGTCAAGAATTTTCATTGTAGAATCGTAAGATTTAGAGCTGAAAGGGATCTCAAAGGTCATCTTGTCCAATTGTCTCATTTTAATGGTTGAGGAAATTGAGGACCTAGATAGGTGGCACAATGAATTGAGTGCCGAACTTGGAGACAGGAAGATCTGAGTTCAAATCTAGCCTCAGCATCTCACCTGGGCAGGTCACTTAATGCTGTTTCCTTTAGCTTCCTCATCTATAAAACGAGCTGCAGAAGGAAATGGCAAACCACTCCAGTATCCCTGCCGAGAAAACCCCAAATAGGGGCAGCTAGGTGGCGTAGTGGATAGAGCACAGGCCCTGAAGTCAGGAGGACCTGAGTTTAAATCTGGCCTCAGACTAAACACTTGACACTTACTAGCTGTGTGACCCTGGGCAAGTCACTTAACCCCAATTGCCTTAAAAAACCCCCAAAAACCAAAAGGGGTCATGAAGAGTCGGGCACAACTGAAAAACAACTGAACAATAACTACTACTACAAATTGTATCTTCCAGCAGAATGCTGTAGGGCTCCTTCAAGGGAAGGATTATTTTTCTTTTTTGTCATTGAATTCCTAGTTCCTAGTGCGATGCCTTACACAAGGTGGGGGTGGAGCAGGAAGGGTTAGTTAATGCTTGTTGAATGGAAGTAAATTGAATTCTATGTGCAAGGCATTTAACTAAGTAGGAGGTATACAAAGTCAGAAATGAAAAATGTTCCAGGTTTGTTAACACGCCTGATCATCAGTCCTGTCTTAGCCTCATCAGGGGAAAAGATTGTACACCAGAAGGGACACAGGTGGCATTGTGCTAAAGTCGCTGAACTGCAGAACCCGACAAAGGAGGACAAAGGATGCTCAGAAAAATTAGTCGTGATGGAAAGGAGTTTGTAATAGTTTTGTTTTTCTTGCTTTTTTAAAAGGAGGGAGAGGTGGGAGAGACTATAGATCTGAAAATAAAATAAAGACTTGGATTAAAAATAGGCATTCAAAAGGGATCCGTCTAATCTTCTGTACTGGAAAAACAAATGGATGAAATAAATACACAGAGTACTCAGATTGTGAGATATTATGAGATGGGCAGCCCGAGGAATTAATTTACCAGTATGTACTTTTAGGAAAGGTGGTACCGATGAATAGTGAGCTGAGCCAAGCTAATTAGGAAAAGAGATCGGGCTAGACCATATTTAGGAAACTACAATAGTGCTTTCAACGACTTCAAGAATCTTTTTGTTGCAAATATCTATGTCTTTTAACAACAATATTCTCCTGGTGATGATACATGCTTGCAAAAAAAGTGAAATAATGTGATCTCAGAGAAATTGCAATTATAAACAACCCAAAGGAGAATGGAAAGATGAATGGCAGGCCTAAGTCGGCTGTTGCCAATAACCAATAAAGATTCATCCAAGATGAGAAGTACCACTGAGGACACAGTTGACTAGAAAAGGAGATGGACAGGTCATGTGCTACATTGGCCATAGTCACTTCACCTCTCTGGGCCTTAGTTTCCTCATCTACGTACTTTCGGATCTGTTCATGGCCTTTTCTGTAAACTGTACAGAAATTTGAAACTGTATAATAATATCCTATTCAATGTGTTATAGTGACTTGGAAATGAAGGCATAGGTGCCAGAATAATCAAATTTTCAGATTATCTGTAATTATTAATGGAGACTCAACACAATGGATGACTGAGGTAGGCAGGCTCTGAAAGTATCTTCACAGTCTAGAATTATGGGCCAAATCTAATAAGATAAAATTTAATGAGGATACATGGGAAGTCCAATGCAGGATTAAAAATAAGTCAAGTATGCAAGAACAGGATGGGGAAGTTGTGGTTAGGAAACAGTTCAAATGAAAAAAAGATGTGGGGCTTTTAGAAAATTGCAAGCTCAAAATAGGTCACCATTGAGCTATGGTGTGTAATAATACTAGTGTGATCTCAGTGAGAATTAATGGAAATATGGAAGTGATGGTCCTGCCTTACCCTGCTCTAGCCAGCTTGCATGCAGAGCATTATACTCAGTTCTGGGCACTACAATCTGGGAAAGATATCGACAAGTTGGAACACGTTTAGAGGAAGGTAACCAGGATGGTGAGAGGACCATCCTATGCCACATGAGGACTGATTGAAGTGGAGGGCAGGCTTGTTGCAGGCTCTCCTCCATCCATCTATATGCAGGCAGGTTTTTTGATGGACACACATATATTAAAGGCACAAGGAAGACTTGTGACTCAGGCTTAGGGTTTTCCCCCCTCTTTTGCATACTTCCTCCTTTTCATTTGCATGAAAGATCAAAATGTTCTGGTTCCTTCCTCAAAAAAGGGGTTGAATACCCGCAGCACTCTGGGGTTTCTTTGACAGAGACCACCCCGAAATGGATTTGGGAAAATGAGCTCTCCACAAGGAAGTAAGTAGTGACTTTTGAGGACATTCTAGGACATAACTGTTAGCAGTACAGGTGAAAAGAAAGAAAGATTTAGGCCTCAGGTCACTAGTTAGCTGGGGCAGCTCTATTCTGTATTCCGTAGAATCTGGTGTTCGAGGCAAAGAATTTTCTTCTGGAGAAGAAAAGACCAACCTAGCCAAGGCTCAGAGAAATGGATGGATTCTCGATTATGGGAGAAAAGCCAGAAAAGATTTTCCCTCAATCTGATGACTGGGTATGTTAGGACCTTATTCTTTTTTTTTTTTGTAATTTCTTTAAAATTTTACACTTAAACACAAAATTAGAAAAGAAAAAAAAAACATGGCAACGTACACAGCTGACCATAAGAGAGGATTCAATAACTTTCCATCTCAAGAAAACCTATATGATAAATACTATACATTGTTTTCAAAGCTGCCCAGCTTTTCTTTACTTCCTGTTAACTATCTTTTGTTCTGTGCTGTGCACTTTATGCTTTATTTTTTCCTTTCCTTCTTCCCACCCCAACCCTAAAGAAAGCTACAATTAAGCATGGCGATATGTGTGTGTGTGTGTGTGTGTGTGTGTGTGTGTGTGTATACACACACACACATATATATACATTCACAATATATATATAGAGAGAGATATCTATAAACACAGACACATATACACATATACACTCACAATCATTTCTGTAAGACTGTACTATGCTTATTTCCTCCTATCATCTGTTTCTCTGAAGGGGGATAGCATCTTCCTTCATAAATCCAAGTCTTTCCATGTTTTTCTAAATGAACCAGCTCATCATTTCCTGTACCACAGCCATATTCCTTTCTGGATTCAAACAGCATCTTCCTTCATAGGATCTTTGAGGTTAATTTGGATACTTGCAACCAGGTCAGAATGACTTGACTGCTCAAAGCTGTTCTTAAAACAATACTGCTGTTACTATATACAATGTAGTCTTGGTTCTGCTCATGTCACTCTTTATTGTTTTGTGGAGGTCTCTCCATGCTTTTCTAAAATCACTGAGCTCATCATTTCTTACAGCAGACTAATATTCCATCATGAACATATACCACAATTTGTTTAACCATTCTCCAATTGACAGACATCCCTGCAATTTCCAGTTCTTTGACACCACAAAAAGAACTACTATAAATATTTTAGAACACATCGGTTCTTTTCCATTTTCCCTAATCATCTTGGGAAACAGGCCTAATAGTGATATAACTGGTTCAAAGATTATAGGCTGTTTAATAACTCTTTGGGCATAATTCCAAATTTCTCTCCAAAATGGTTGGATCAGCTCAGATCCACCTACAATGAATTAAGGTCCCAATTTTTCCACATTCCCTTCAACATTTGTCCCTTTCCCCTTCTATCATTTTAGTCAATCTGATAGGTGTAATATGATATCTCAAGGTTGTTTTAATTCGCATTTCTCTAATCAATAATGATTTAGAGCATTTTTTGTTCGACTATAAATTGTTTTGATTTCTTCATCAGAAAACTGCCTGTTCATATCTTTTGACCATTTATCAATTAGGAAATGACTCACATTCTTATAGTTTGACAATGTTCTTTATATATTCGAGATATGAGACCTTTATTGGAAAAACTGTCTGTAGAATATTTTCCCCCAGTTTTCAGCTTTCCTTCTGATCTTGGCTACATTTGTTTCATTTGCACAAAAACTATTTAATTTAATCAAAATTATTCATTTTACATGTCACAACACTTTCTATCTCTTATTTGTTCATAAGTTTTTCACCTATCCATAAGTCTGATAGGTAATATGTTCCATGGTCTTCAAATTTTCCTGTAATATCTCTCTATATATCTAAGTCATGTATCCATTTTGACCTTATCCTGGTAAATGGTGTAAGGTAAATGGTCTATGCCCAATTTCTGTCAGACCATACTTTCCAGCTTTCCCAATAATTTTTTTAAACCAAATAATGAATTCTTTTCACCAAAACTTAAGTCTTTACACTTGTCAAACACTGGGTAATTGTATTTGTTTGCTACTGTAGATCATATGTCTACTCTATTCCTACTTCTATTTCTTAGCAAGTACCAGCTAGCTTTGATAATTTCTGCCTGATAATATAGTTTAAGGACTGGTACGGCTAAACCTCCTTCCTTTACATTTTTTTCCATTAGTCCTTTTGATATCCTTGACCTTCCAAATGAATTTTATTATTATTGTGTCTAGCTCTGTAAAATAATCTTTTGGTAATTTAATTGGGATGACATTGAATATATAGATTAATTTTGTTAAAATTGTCATTTTTATTATATTGGCCCTACCTACCCATGAACAATCAATATTTCTCCTTTCATTTAAATATGATTTTATTTGTGTACAAAGGTTTTTTTTATGGTTTTGTTCATATAAATCCTGGGTTTGTTTTGGTAGGTGTATTCCCAGGTATTTTATACTATCTAGAATTATTTTAAATGGGGTATCTCTAGCTATCTCTTCCTGCAAGATCTTATTAGTAACATATAGGAAGGCTGATGATTTATGTGGATTTACTTTATATTCTGCTACTTTGTTGAAGTCATTAATGATTTCAATTAACCTTTCAGTTGAGTCTTCAGGATTTTCCAAGTATGTCATCATATCATCTGCAAAAAAGTGATAGTTTTATTACCTCATTCCTTATTCTGATTCCTTCTATTGCTTTTTCTTCTCTTATTGCTATTGCTAGGATTTCTAATACAATATTGAATAATATTGGTGACAGCGTGCATCCTTGTTTCACCCCTGATCTTACTGGAAAGGCTTCTAGCTTATCCCCATTACAAATAATACTTGCTGATGGCTTTAGGTAAATATTTCTTATCAATTTAAGAAAAAGTCCATTTATGCCTATACTTTCAAATGGTTTTTTGTTTTTTTTGGCTAGGCAGTGGAGTTAAGTGACTTGCCCAGGGTTGCGCAGCTAGTAAGTGTTATGTGTCTGAGGCTGAATTTGAATTCAGGTCCTCTTGACTCCAGAGCTGGTGCTCTATCCACTGTGCCACCTAGATGCCGCTCAAAAATTTTTAATACAAATGAGTGTTGTACTTTATCAAATGCTTTTTACCTTATTCTTAAAAACCAAACCAGACCAAAAAACTTTAACAGACAAATCATTTGGGCTTTAGGCAAAAACGTGTAAGGTAGAGTCCACTGCCCCTATGATGAAGAAACAGCACCTCCCGGGAGGACTCCAACTGAAGCCAGCAGGTGGCGGCAGAGAGAGAACACCCCCCCCCCATCACAACCTTGGGCCCAGTGGAGTTGTACCTGACAATGGTCAATGTGTAAGGACACAGTCAACCACCAGAGCAACAAATCAGAGACTCAGCAGGGAGCAATAAATGGTAGAGATTATATACAGCACTCCGGTCTAACAGGGGTAGAATCAGCAGGAACAGCACAATGACATCATCAGAAGGCATCAGCAGCCCCACCTCGTCAAAAGCATATGTTGAGCCCCCCCACTTTGCCTGGACTACACGTGGTCTCTAACCTGTGTGTCCCTGCCTGAAGGAAGCTGGGCAATGCAGGAGATAGAGAGCTGGGCCTGCAGTGAAGAAGTCCTGAGTTCAAATCTGTTGTCATACACTTACAAGCTGTGTGGCCCTGGACAAGTTACTTAACCTCGGTCTATCTCAATTTCCTCATCTGTAAAATGGGGATCATAATAGCACCTACCTCCCAGGATTGTTAGGAGGATCAAACGAGGTAATATTTGTAAAACCACTTACACAGTGCCTGGCATATCGTAGGTGCTTAATAATTGTGTATTTCCTTCCTTCCTCTATGTATGCATCCCAACCACATGGGTTTCCTGTGCGTGTATCCACTTTTCCTTTAGACAGCGTGTGTATTTCTAGAAAAATGTTTTATTACTACTTTTCTTACTATTCTTTTTTGGACTAGACCTATGATTGCAATGGTATAGGGAACTCCTGATCAGGGAACACCTTTCATCAGTGTAGACTGGCACTTCTTCAACAATCTATAATCTTAGAGGGTTACCTAGAGGCTAAACGGTGGCTCAGGGTCACATGGCCCCTATATGTCAGAGGTGGGTCAGTGTGAAGCTATGTCTTTCTAACTCTATCTAGTCTTCCACATTGCCTGTGCTTTCTTAGTATACCAAGCTGTTAGATGCTCTTGGTATGAACTAATTGAGTGATGTCTGTCTTTAAAAACTTGAAGGCTGCCATGAGAAAGAGGGATGAGTCTGATTCTGCTTGGCTGTAGAGGGAACTGGGAGTAATAGGAGTAAGTTGCAGAGGGACAGAGTTTGGTTCTCTATAAGGCAACGATCAGAGCTTCCCAAAGGGTACATGGACTGACTTCCTTGCTTTTCCTTCACAGAAGCTGCTGGATGACCACTTGTCAGAAACCATAGAGATGGGATTTCTATTTAAGCTGAGGGAGGTGGTATAGGAGAAAGATCAACTCTGAAGTCAGAGAATCTGGCTTCAAATCCTGCCACTGACAGCTACTATGTGACCCAAGGCAAATCTGGTCCTTGGTTCTCTCATTTGTAAATTGAGGGGACTGGAATAGATGGCCTCTGAGGTCCTCTCCAGTTCTAAAAATGATTTAGTGATGTTACAAGTTCTAAAGTTTAGACTAAAAGCCTCTGAGATTCTGTAGGAAGAGATTGGACAAGATGATGGAAAAGTTTCCTCTAGTTTAAACATGTCGTGATTCTGGGAATCTGTGGTTGTTAACATAACCGAAGGATGGTCTCAGGGGCACTGGGGAGATCTTTCATGGAATGCTTTTTATTGTTGTTGTTAGTGATTTTTTTTGGGGGGGGAGGAAGCAATGGGATTAAGTGACTTGCCCAGGGTCATACAGCTAGTAAGTGTCTAAGCCTGGATTTGAACTTAGGTCCTCCTGACTCCAGGCCAGTGCTCTATCTACTGTACCACCTAGCTACACTTTGTTACTGAGCTTTTATTGTTGTTTGTTTGGTTTTTTACATTTTTATTACACAGTAAAGAATACAACAATACCAGAATCATACTTAAAAGATTCATGGTTGACAGACCACACATTACAGTCATGGAGGTCTTTTGGAAAGACACAGATAAGGATAACTCAAGGTGAGAAGAAAGTGGAAGGGTTCTGATCTGTGTGGGGAAGAGAAGATCCATGTCAGTGGGAAAATGAAGCACCTCCCCCCACCCAAACCGCAAGTATGGTGGTGGTCGAGGAGTCAGAGGTGGGGAATTCTC